GTACATCATGTTATAGTCAAGTTAACATTCATTATTGTATCATTTTATGTTCAATTAACATTATCGCGTGGAGCATTGTCCCTTGGTATACCATTATCCATCATGAGTACCACCATAAGAGATCAGTCTAGGTAAGCATTGTCTGTTCTTTCAAATCAATGATGACCTTTGTGAACAAATACTAATTTTTTTCATCACCATGAATTTTCTAACAAAACAGAAACTTGAGAATCATATGTTGATACTCTCAAAGATTTCATGTCATTCTTTTTCTGTTACTTATTGATTCTCCAAGACATCAACTGTTAATATATATATATATATATATATATATATATATATATATATATATATATATATATATATATCTTGCTTGTTCACATTACATTATGTGATGCTTGTTTTTTTTAGTTAATGTTCCATGTGTTCATTGGTCAATACATATGTCCTATGTTTAGGTTTTCTAGTATTTACCTATCATCTTTTATCTGTGAATACTACTCTTTGTTGCAATTATCTTGGGTGAACATCACATTCTTTTTTTGTTTTTATATATTCAAGTCAGTTTCAAAATTTTTGGTTGATCATTGATTCACTTTAACAATTCCTTGCTCACGGTATTTATTCACTTTTGGATTTTTTTTATCATACCCTACTTGTAAGCGTTAGACTTATTTGTGCACACCATAAGTTAGAAATCCCACTCTTCTCTATCCATGAACCAATTTTTTTCATAGTTGATCATTCTTATGTTGTTCTTTTTACTTTGGATAGTTGTTGGGCATTATCACTCAGCAAATATTTCATTTCCTTCTTAAAGAGTCTATTACCTTCACTCTTTGATGTTATATTTATCTTCTTACTAAAGGTAACATCCCTTTATTTATCTCCCTTTGTGATCTTAATACTCATGCCTTATGCATCTTCTTTTAAGATCTATTTTTTTCAACTCTATCTAAGTCCACAAACTTTCCTATGTGTTCTTGGATTTATATATATAGTTTTGATTTATTATCTCTATGATACATGACTCTATTTGTTTGGTATCTAAAGACACAATTGTTTAATTTGTCGTAGTCATCATTGGCCTAACTTAGCACTTTTACTTAATCCTTTCATTCTTGCTAAGATTTAGTAACATTAAACGTTTTTGTTTTGTTTTTTATGACATCAAGTCCTATCTCTTTCATTTTTACTTGATATGTCATTCACTTTGTGGCCTATGCTAAGTGATTTTTGAATTTATAAATTATTCCTATCTACAGTTTAATCAACCATAATACTCAAATCATAATTTTGTTTAGTCAATGCAAATTCTTAAAATTTTATTTTTCCTATCCTCCCAAATTTTTTATGCAATTAATTTAAAGATACATGTTATCATTCTCTAACTATTTCTCTTTGACTAACAATGAATTCAAATTTTTTTTCTTCTCTGGTCTACTCAAGATATGGCTCCTATAGTAGACAGAAAGACATCTAAATCAAAATTATCCCATAAGGCTTCTACATCTCAAGCAAAGGAATCTTCGACTGTAGTGTAAACCTCCACATTAAAAATCACCATGGTTGCATCCAATTATGTTGCACTTATTGACACTAAGGCAAAACCTGTTGGGGCGCAAAGTTATCCATGTATGACTTTGTAAATATGTTGACTTTTGTAGACCCACTTGCATGTGGTGCATTAGCCTTATGGCTCATGAGATAGAGAGTGAGAGAGAGACATGTAAACACCTCTATATAAGGTGGGTTCATACCACTTATGGAGGTATGCTTGTGAGGTGTAAAAGTGGAGTGCGTAAGTGTGTGTTATTTATGTAGACTAGATCTAGATCCTTTTTTGTAACACCATACATATTCAATACATCTCTTAAACACCGAAATCACTGTGTTCATTGTGCAATCTTAAATTCCGCATGCCAAACCATGTTCTATAATCACATCAATTGGTATCAGAGCGGGTCTTCGAAGATCAACATGATTTTTTGAAGAACGATTCTCGGTTTGGCAAAATTTTTCACAATTGGAGCATTTTTGGTGAGTCTCTCTATGATCTCTCTTAATCTCGTTTGATTCGTGCGTTGCGTTCTTGATTTTTGATCGTTTTGACTCGTTGGATGAATTTTTTTTTGAAAAACCCACTTGTTATGATCCAATAATTTTTCCATTGATCAAGCCCCGATCCAATCATATTCTTGTGTTCGATTTGATCCTCAATTGAAATTGTTTGTTTAAATCAAGATTTTATCCATAAAACATTTTTTAGAATTTTTAGAATTTGATATTGTTCATATTCAGAGTCATATTGATACTGTTCAAGTTTGAGCCCAATCTTCAATTTATTACTGTTCATGATCCATTCCTTTGAGCCCAATTTGTTATATAATCGATCATGTTCAGCTAAATCTAATTCATCGGATGAGTTCTGATTGTGATTCTTATTGACATTCTTCGTCAAATTCAAATTGATCGATTTAGCTTTCGATCTTTGACCCTAAATAAATTCGTGCATCTGATTTTTCATGTGGCCAGTTGGTCATATATTGATGATCGAGAACATCAACTTGATTTCTATATTTGAATCGCATATTATACTGAATCGAATTCTTAATCTGATCCATTTGGTCATTCGATTTTCTCATTCTTGTTCATCTGATCAATTTATTGATCTCATTTGTTCAATTCCTATATTATCTATGAATCTTGTTTTGGAAATTGATCATCGATTTTGAAGATTTATTTGATGAATTGATGATTCTTGGTTTGGAGATTTTGATTGAACTCGGAAATCGTTGATTTTGATTGAAATTAATGAACTGATGAAGAATTCAAGAACAGATGAAGAACGGTTGCAATTTTGGCTGAAAATGGGCATTTGATCTGAAATTTGATATTGAGAAGATAACTATGGTGTTTGTCGGTAATTGAAATTGAAGAGTCAGACAAAGAAAGTCAAAATCAGATCGATTGTTAATTGTTTTGATCGAACTGAATATATGCGAAGTCGGAATTTAAAGTATCAGAATGAGTCTTTGATAATCGAAATCGAAAGTCAATTGGAGTTGATTGGAGATGATGAATCGAAATCAAAACTTCATTTGATTTTTTTTATCGTTCACTTGGAGTTGAACGCTTTGGGGTCGAATGCCTTTGTTTGGATCACATTGAATTCGACTGGTGATGATGTCCGTTCCAAGTTCACAGCTTGAGCGAATTGGGGAAGAAGGCTTATTTTTTTCGAATTCGAGTCCTTACAATTTTAGCGTATTGGCAGATTCTATCCTATTTCTTATTGGAGTAATATTTTGTGAACAATGAAGATTCTTCATTTCGAATCCTTGAAGTTTTAGAATTTTTGACAGTTTCTTCCCAGTTTCAACTTGGGGGAAAAGTTCTGTAAAGTGGGAAAATATTTCGAATGTGCTCCCTACAGTTAATGTGAATTGACACTTTATGCCCAGTTTTGCAAATGGGGTAGTGTTTCACATTTTTGGCTGTTTTGGGCGCAACGGGTCCTTGCAGAATTCAGAAAGTGACAATTTCTACCCAAATTTGTGAAATTTTGTCAAAGGCGGTCCGTGAACGAATTCGAAATTTGAAGATTTTTTTGGATTTTCCGGATTGAAGCAAAAAGTTTATGCCACATGTTAAGGGGGAGTTTTGACAAGAAAAATTATGAATAGAGCACATTCTCTTTCCTTGTTGGTTTTATAATCAAATTTCGATTATAAAAAGGGGGAGAAAGTTATATGGAAATTCGAAAGTTGAATTTTTCATATTATGCGGACTTGAAGACCGAAGTGACCTAAATTATTTGAAGCTTATGAAATAACTCGATTAGAAATTCGGAAATGATTTCGGTTCATGATGGGTTTGGAATTATTGAAGATTTTTGGGGTGTGTTTTTATGCTCAACTTTATTGTGATTATTTGGAGTTTGAGAAGCTCTTGATCATTCGTTGATGCTCGGTTCGTATGGTCTCACATCCTAGAACCCAAATTGAAGAATCATGGAAGAACTGAAGATTTGAAGTTCATCTCTACATGTGTCACGCTTGAGTCTCGGATCGCGTAGTTGCTCGATTTTGGAAGATTTAAAGCGAGTCATCCATTCCTAACTTTGAGGGGGAGAATGTTGGGGTGCAAAGTTATCCATGTATGACTTTGTAAATGTGTTGACTTTTGTAGACCCACTTGCATGTGGTGCATTAGCCTTATGACTCATGAGATAGAGAGTGAGAGAGAGACATGTAAACACCTCTATATAAGGTGGGTTCATACCACTTATGCAGGTGTGCTTAAGAGGTGTAAAAGTGGAGTGTGTAAGTGTGTGTTATTTATGTAGACTAGATCTACATCCCTTTTTGTAACACCATACATATTCAATACATCTCTTAAACACCGAAATCATTGTGTTCATGGTGCAATATTTAATTCTGCATGTCAAACCATGTTCTATAATCACATCAAAACCTAAAGAAACTGGCATCATAGTTGAATATCTGCAAAATACCTACTTTCTGATGCACTCATGACAACCACCCAAATTCCTGAATCCCTCATCTTTGAAACCTTTCAATCTACAACAATAACTCCTAAGACACATTCAAAAGAGTTTGATGTCGAATTCTAATATAAAGCAACTACCTTAGCTCTATAGAAATGTGAATTCATGAATTGTTTAGCTCTACCTGATGATTCTGATTAACCCCCGATATATGTCACTTCAGTCATTGACAATTCTCAAGAAAATGGGTTACATATTTGAGGAAGATAAAGAACCAAACATCAGAAGAATAAAGAAAGCTTGTCTTCTAGGACAAAAACACTTTCATAGTTCTGTCATTTCCTGATGCCTTCTCTGGTCAGTTGGTGGATGTATTCGTGGTTCAACTAGTCTTTGGACCATCACGTAATGTCTTTACTATGATGTGAAAGTTGACTACACATCTATTATTTGGTAGGATTTTCTCACCTATCTACTTGCTTCAAAGACCATGTTCAAGATTCATCATCCTTGTTGGTGGTCCATTATCCTTCATGCTATGACTACTAATGATCTTCAACCACTGGTTGACATTCCAGAAGGACCAATACCCACCTTCTTGTACATGACACCTTATAAGATGCGTGTTGCTTCCGAATCTAAGTTTCCACATCGAATCATCATTCTCAGTGTCATCCTAGAGAAGCTGGATATAGATAGCACTTATATCCGTTCTTACCATAAATGCATCTACAGAATCATTGTTTCACCAAAAAAAGGAAAAAAAAAATCAAACAATGCATTAAAGAAAATGATGAAAAAACTAAAGAAATCAAAGCCAGATCCAACACCTTCTGTTTATTCTCAAGACGCATCTCACGGTGACAATTGAGTAGATTTAGATGAGCACATCACCTCTCCTAAATCTAGTATTACCTCTAAAGAATTCCCATTCATTGGTTCCTTATTCAAAGCTCCATCAGTCTGTGTACAATCGTCATCGCCAGCTCCAGATTCATGGACGTCCAATCAGTCAGAACAAACTGGTCCAAGTAATTGTGCTACCATGGTTGATTCCTTTTCAAACCACGATGATGAACAAGAAGGTGAAAAACAAACTCCTCAGACTTTGAGCACACAAGATGATCAAGACAAGAATATTCCTATGCAGACGGTTGCCATACCTCCAAGTGAAGGACTGATCGTTGATGACGAACCAACCAATATGTCAATAATTCTACACTCCAAAGTGTCTTTTAGAGCCTTCAACATCGACCTTGATAACTATTATCCTTCCCCACACAAAGAGTCTCATGAAAATGATTCGGAAAATGACGTATAGACCTTATAATGTTTCTAGGGTTTACCCATTTACCCACTTAACTTATTTTGTGGTTTAATAAGGGAACGAAGTATCTGTTACCTATCAATATAATCCCTTTCACCTATTGTAGCCGGTTTACATTGCCACATAAACGTAGCCTAACACGTAAGCGATGACATGGCAAGAATTTCAATCATCGAACTACCGCAACGACGTCGTACTGAACGTGAATCGTAAGGAGCACGATTTGACTGCTCAGGCGCCTCCATATAAAATCAAGACTTTGTTGACCTAAAATGGCACATCTGCAAACTTCATTACCCCAATCTCGTCTCTAAGTTTACTCCAAAATGCCTTCAATCGGACATGCAGAACACAACTGGTCTCCAAACTATCGCCATCATATGGATGAGAATCATTCCAATGGTATAACCAACGAAGACATGGCCATCAATCTACTACAAACCTAGTTGGAACTGTCTCTTATACGGGAGAACTTCCAAGACCAGTTGCGTGAGCTCCGTCAGGCAGTTAATCGAGACTTGGATGCCATTAACCGTGAGGTCAATGACGTTCACGTTGGTCAGTTGGATACCTCAAATCTAGTTTCTGATCTTAAAAATCATTTCGTTTCTCTGCAAGGAGCATATGTGAAGATGGTCTTCCAGCACAACAAATGTAAGAAGCTGAAGTATTATATTGGGATTGTTGGTGTTGTTACTGTGTTTGTGGTGATGTATATGTTCTTTAACTAAAAAAGGTTGTGTAGGTTGAAGCATTTTAGTCCTAGGTTTGTGTTTTGGTGTGTTATTTATGTTGTTTAGCGTTGATATTAGTAGTAGATTTTGTGTCTATTGCTGGTACTAGTTTGTGATGTTGGTGTGTAGATTTGGTGGTGGTGTTGCCTGGGCTGCTGATGGTCATCGTTTTTTGATGAAGTTTTTTGTCGATGATCTGTGTAATAGGTTATTCAATAGCAGAAAGTGATGTAAACAAAGCCATGGCTGAAATGTGTTTTAATATGTTATTATTAAAAAAATTGTCTTACACTTGTATCTGTATGTGTGCATGAAAGAAAGAAACATTTGGGTATTATATATGTTTCATTAACTTGTTCCCAATCATCTGATGTCCATCGACTGGGACGGGACCACAAGCCAAAGCAAAATGAATATACCTTTTTTATGCACATAGAAAGGGACCACAAATGATGAAGTTTGGGAAAAAGGACAAAACTAAACAATACCTTTGCACACGAGGCATTGTGTCTGCTTGTCTGGAAACCTTTTTTGGAAGAAAAAAGGTTTTCTAAAGTGGACTTTTTTCATGTTGAATGGATTAAGTCACAACTACCTTGTTTTTGACAATGAGTTAATTACCCCCACATCCAAAATGGTCAAGTTACAATGACTTAATCACCCCCACATCCAAAATGGTCAATTTAAAATGACTTAATTACCCTCACATCCAAAATGGTCAAGTTACAATGACTTAATTACCCCCACATCCAAAATAGTCAAGTTACAATGACTTAATTATCCCCATAGTTTATTACATAATGTAACTGTTTAAACCACCGTAAGTAACCATATTACCTCTACACTTTGGTTTACTTTGTAATGACTAAAATGCCCATAATGCCCCTACATATTCGTGGCACAGGACAACAATCACATACCATATAACAACATACCACACAATCAAACAACATAGTAGACCATAAAAGAACATACGTAGGTCATTTGTTTATTGCAACACACATTTACTACAAATAACAAACAATTATCTAATCCAACTCCATGGTCGTTGCAAGACTGCTACTGTCACACCCCCAAACCAGACGTCCCTCTAGAGTGGATTCCGCCGCTTGGCGCTCTGCTTCAGCCAGACGTCCCTCTAGAGTGGCTCGGTGCTCTCGGAGTTCTTGCACTTCAGTTCGGGTTGCAGCCATTTCCCGTCGAAGAATCTCGGTGCGCTCTCGAGTCCGATCGTGGTTGTCATCCAACCGGCGAATGCGAACGGAGTTGACTTGGTTGGTGGCACCAACTTCCATGAGGTGTTGGGTGTTAACTCTTGTTTGCTCTTCGTGGCATGTGACACGGTGTACTATGACAGGGAGGGCTCGGTCGGCTGACCCTCCTCTGCTGAGATCGTAGTAACCTCGTTGCATGCCGTAGGGAGGTCGTTGACCTTTCTCTCGGCTCCATCGATGTATAGTTTCGGCCAATTGGGGCGTCGGGCCCTGGAATTGTCGTGGAGGAATAGGGGCAGGGCGTGGATTGTAAACTTCGGGTTCGGAGTCGGTTCCATCTGAGTCTTCTTCCTCTTCACCGTCTACTGATTCTTCCTCCTCCATGGGTTCTTCATCCTCGATGGGTTCCTCTTCAAGATCCTCCTCTAGGTCTTCCTCAATCCAACCAGCATTTCCTTTGTTGGGAAAGTAGGGATCACCTAGTAAGTGAAATCCTGCCATTGTGCCTGTACGAGAATAGGGATAAGAAGGATATCGCGAGAAATTTTGGGAAAAGAAGTTAGTTATCGCAATTTATAATGTGCTTATTACGGTTTTTGAGTTAAAATACTCCTATAGCATTTTTATGTTTGATTTTTGAAGTTTTTTTTTTGAAGGCATGTTGTTCATCATGATCCTTCTTCGGCATACATTGGTCCTACCTTGGCTAAATATAGTTGATCATGCTATATTCATCCAAGATCTGACTACATACCCCGAAGCTGAATCATGGTGTTCAACTTGTCTTGAGACTTTTATGTTATTACCATTATCCTACTGAATTACTATGAGTGATTGTGCAAATACTTTTATAAAAATATTAATTCTTATTTTAAAGTATTTTTGAAAAGCTATGTTAAAGAATTTATGTCCCATTGTATTTATAGTTTGTATATCTTACGTGGTTCGATATACTTAGTTCACTATAAACAAAGCTCTGATGCCAATCTGTCACACCCCCAAACCAGAATGGCGGAAACGTTCAGGGGCGGAGGACGTCATGCTCAGTATCATAACCATAGTGAATAAAGTAAAACACAACCATCATAGATATAATTTCAAAGTTTACATTGTTTCTAAAATACATGTTTCCAAATAAATTACATATGATGTTCAAAATATAGCAAAAGAATCTACGCCTTAGCGTCTTGACTTCAGAAATCTTGTGGTTACCTGAATTACTGATTACCTGAGAATACAAGTTGTTTTGAAAAGAGAGTATCAGCATAAAGCTAGTGAGTTCATAAGCAGTTTCTAAAAACAATAAATGTTGTTTCCTTAAAGTTTGTTACCAGAAAATCCAATATTTTCTAAAAGGTTTGTTATGGTCTTAACCGAAACAAGACCTAGTATGTATAAGTAAATCGTCGTACTTATGTGTGTGGTTTTATATTTAAATAAAACCCATTTTATGTAAAGGTCGTAGAATTTTTGTGAACCGCATGTTTTATTAGTGCTCCATGCGAGATGTTATAACCATACTAAAGACTAGAAGGCCTCGTATACGACGTTCTTCAGGCGTCGGAATGTTATGATACTTGTAACCCCAGACCTGCCGGTCTAGCTGTTGCAAGTAGCTTAGGTGCGGGTTTGTTAGACCCAATATAGATCTATACACAACTATCACGTTCTCCCTCCAGGAGATTCTGATTATAACTACAGGACTTTTCTGTGGTACTTAGGAGTACCCCGAAGGAGAATGTCCCGCAAGTTTATTTATTAACAAGTTCACGTAGTGTGCAATGAAATATTTGTTCTCTAAGTCGATTGAGTTACTATTTCTTTGTCAAACGAAGTGTTCAAACTATACCTATTATAGTTTATCAAAAGTGTTGTGTGTGTTTGAATGAAACCTTGTTATGCAAGTCATTGTATTTCCATAAAATGACATTTGAAATAATGAGTGTAAACCGTACACACCTTGCTCAACATGTTACAAGGTGTGTATAACTCTTAAACATGTATTCGACAGTTTTGTAAAAATATCAAGTTTAGGTTGGGTAAAACAGCCTGTAAACAGGCCACAACTTTGTTGTTGTACGCTGTCAAGTTAAGTTTCAAATATATTTTGGGTTTCTTAACTTGTATCCCCCCTGAAAACTAAAGAAAACGGGAAAAATGTAGGGATATGAACTCACCGGGAAAGTGTGGTGATTTGCAGAAAACAGGATCTTCTCGGGCAGCACCTCGACCGGAAAGTGGTGAATTTTTCGGGACTCTCGGGGCTTCGAACTTCCGTCAGAGCTTGGATATGAAACCAGGATGTCGGGATAGTCTCGAGAGGCTCGAAAATGAGAAAATGGGAGAGAATATGGTAAATGTGAAAGTAAAAATCGGAAGTCTCGCATGCTATTTATAGGAAGGGCTGCCAGGCTTCGTACGCTGGGCGTACTCCGAAGTACGCGGGGCGTACGTCAGCGATGACGTCACTGGTCGCCGGTCTTCGGATGGGACGATAGTAGAGGGTGTATGGGCGACGTGGCCGATCTGAGGCCTTGCATTGGGTATGTTGGGCGTACTCCGAAGTATGCTGGGCGTAACCCTTCGGATAAGCCTCGAAGTGTGTGCCCAAAACTTTGAAAATCTGTAACTTTCGAATACGAGCTCCGTTTTCGACGTTCTTTATATCCACGCGTAGGTGAGAATATACTCTACAACTTTCGTTTAGACTCCGTCGGCAAAATTTGATATTATTTTTAATTATATATCTTTTAAAAGGCCGGGACAGGATAAATCCGTTAAAAATTCATAACTTCTTCATCCGATGTCTGTTTTCGTCTGTCTTTTTACCGTTGTACTACTATTGTCGAGACCTTCAATTCTCGTTTAGGTGGCGTCGGCTAAAAGTCGTTCAATTTTTATCTCGAGTTTTTTAGTTGTCTACTGCTACATCTGAAACTTCGAAAAATCATAATTTCCTCATACGAATTCAGATTTGGACGTTCTTTTTATGTACGTTTATGGTTTATTATAATCTACGACTTTCGTTTAGATACCTAAGGCTAAA